GCCCCAACCTCATGCAACGAACATCTGGCCAGCTCATGGCTGTCAAGTCGCGGAAGGAGTGGCTCTCGGGCCGCACCTCAGCGCGGCGCACATACTACAAATTCCTGCGCTGGCTTTGGCCCCTCTGGGCCTTGGGTTGGTGGTCGTTGGGCCGCGGGGCCGGCCGCACCAAGGGCGGCACGAAGTGGTGTATCGTGATCCGGGTTTTTATTGACATGAAGGTCCTATATTTGTCGATTGGCTGAGTCTGTGCCAGTTAAGAACGACTGCAAGTGCGTGCACCGACGGGCGCGGCGCGTCGCGCCACCTATACAACGGAGGATCGTATTGTGGGTGTTCTAGGTAACTTCGCTGATAATGCACGTTACATCCAAACTGGGCCGGAGTCACGTCTTACGATAACTTTGCGCCAGTTGCCTTGCACGAAAGAGGAGTATCTTGTTGTCATTCGTCCAATAGCGCCGCCACAACTTTCACTTGAACGACCAACATGCAAGCAAGCTAGCCGCTGCTTTTCGGCTCAACCCCGCAGTAGCCGCTGCGGAATGAAGCTGGCAACTTCTCATCGTCGCTGCCGTTGCGATCAGGTACACTGCTACCGGAAACCAGTCGGGACAGCGAGTAAATCGAACAGATCCCAGACGTTTCAGTGCGAGGATCTTTGCCGATCCATTCGGACCCATCATGACGCAGAAATCGTGGAAGAAGCTCTTCGGGCGTCGCCGTGCAGCCTCGCCAGCTCCGTCTGCCACGCCGTCGACGAGTATGTTGAGACTCTGCCTAGCATCGCAAGGCTTCTCGTAACTTACATTCTCCAGCAAACGTCCAGTCATCCGATCAGGGAACTGCAGAACACGGATCGAAAGCGTCTTCCATTATCGCGACAGAGTCATGTGCTCCTCCCTCCCCGTCTGCCGCCGCCGCTCGGGCCGCCCGACCCGGCGCATATGCGAGAGCCCCCGACGATCACCAACCCCTCCAAGCTTCGCAAGCACTGCCTCCTGCTCTGCCCGCCGAATCCACAGAGCAACCGACCCCTGTCCTTTCCGTGTCCGAAAGACTGTGGAACGACGCATACGACAGCCTTGAGGCGGACAATTCAGAGCTTGTCCTGTTATACGTGAAAAGGTTGGAAACAGCTCTCGGAGCCAACTCAGGCGTTGCTCATGACACCAATATCTCGACCGAGCTCCATAACCCGACCAAAAGACAGATGCATATGAGGAGGCTGGTGGAGGAAGGCCAGGCGAAAATTTCCAGAGCGTCCAAGATCACGAACGGAGTAGGCGATGTCGCCGGTTTTGTCTTGTCGGCCAAGGGATTAATTGACCTGGCTGTCCAAAGCGTGCCGCAGGCCGCGCTTCCGTGGGCCGGTGTTTGCGTTGGGCTGGTGTTTGCGTTGGGCTGCAAGTAAGCAGTCGCCCTTCGAGCACCTCTTTGTACTTGGCTCTGCTAACATGTCTCCAGATTCTCCTGAATCCTGTCCAAGCGACGAAATCCAACCTTGCCGGTATCGCCTATGTCATCTCTAAAATGGACTGGTACTGCGCCCTCACTGAACATCTCCTGAACGAGAACAACGTTGCCGCTGGCAAGGACTTTCAGGCAGTCTTGTGCCAGCTGGAAAAGAGCATTGTCGAGCTCTACAAAGCTCTTCTCCAATACCAGATGAAGAGC